ACAGCAGGATTAGGCAACACAAACTCCTACCTGGCAGGCTTCAAATCTGTCCTGTATCTCCTCTGCAACAGTTCCCCTGTTTTTTCTTTTCCCTTCTGCTTTCTAATTTCCATTTCTCACTATGCATTTACACTGTTATACAGCAGTCTCCAGAGCTTATTCGGGAATCTGCCATAAAAATGATCCGTGTCGATGCCCTCATCTTACAGATTCCAAAATCAAGGCCTGGAGAGAAGAGACTTGACTAAAATCAATCTTGGTTGGTATCTGAAGTAAAACTGACTCATTTGACACCTACTGCAGTCTTTTCAACCTCCTCAGGCTGCCTCTTGTAGCTGATGCTAATTAACTGTTTTAAGATCCTGGTGAAGATGTAGTGTATTGAAATTACCTTCAGAATGGTCCCCACCACACTGTCCTTAAAGGGAAACAAGGTACTGTTGTACATTATATCTTAGACCTTTGGTTTCTTAGGTTCCAAAATTGTTTATGTTGGTCACCTAGCAACCAAATGTTCAGCGTTCCAAGGGGGCTCACGAGGGGGTATTCATTTATTAAATTTCCTTCTTTGTAAACCCAACTTTGAGAAATTGCATCATACATATTCATGGATGTCTTTATGGACTTCTTCGTCATTCTTTGAAAAATAAACCACTAGTCCTATGATATTTAATACAATATTTTCCTCCCACAGAAATCCATCATTCTTGCCAAGAAAAAGTCAAAGAAGGGAACATAGGAACCAACATAGCTCTGGCATTCTTCAGATTGCCAGGTAGAACAGATGGTGAAAACTGTCTTTGGGGTCTTTTCTATCCCCTCTTCATCTCCTCCATTATTACTCAATCTCTTCTTTCCACTGTTCAATTCCATCCCTGGCCCCCACTCTCAGATGCTGGCTAGATTATTTGTCCATTGACGTAAAAGAACAACTTTGTTTTAAAGAAAATACAGTGATATCTCAATTGTCAAACTCAATTCATTCCAAATTTGTGTTTGAACACTAAAAAGTTTGAGAACTGAATATGTTCTTCCCACAAATAATGAAGGGCTGAGGATTCAGCTCAGTGGCGCTATGCCTGCCTGGCATGCACAAGGTCCTGAGTTCAATTCCTGGTACTGAAAAAAAGAAATAATGAAGAACAAGGCCAGAGATGTAGGGCAATGGTGCCACGCCTGCCTGGCAAGCACAGGTCCTGAGTTTCATCCATGGTACCCCAAAAAAAATTATTCCAAGGCTCAAAAATGACACAAATTCGTTTTTTAAAGACTTTTAACAAATTTTACAGTTTCTTTCTTTAACTCTTATAGTGGTTCTCACAGTTTTCCTCTAAGCTTTCTTTGGAGTCACTGTCATGCTATTTTCTGCAAATAAAGCACACACACACACACACACACACAGACACACTCAAGCAGTACATTAATGAATGTTTTAATATACTAACACAGGTACTATATGTTGTCTGGGCAAGAGCAGATCTTAGACTGAAGAGTCACCCCTTTGTGAGCGTGGCCAGACAGAACACATGACTCTTGACTCATACAGGAATTTTCAAGTTGGATTTTCAGTTTGACTATTGAGCAAAATTATGAATACTGAGATTTCTTTTCAAAATTTGCCATTCGAGTAGTGGAAAGTTTGCTTGGAGTGGTTCAACAACTGAGGTAGTTTGAGCCAAATATGAGTGACAATAACCAGGAACGTGGATCCAAGTAATGTTGAATTAAATACTCCACTGTGGAAGAGGTTACATGAGTCTTCATAGTCACAGAGCAAAAGGATATTGTAAAGCAATAAAAATATTTACCAATTACATTGGTGGGAACATCAGACAGGTGGGCTACAGCAATGTAGGGAAATCTCTTCTGGAGGATTCAGATGTTACCTTACAGCATTCTGCTTTAGGGATTGTGTAGGCTAGAAGTGCATCAAGCTTAGGGATATATTCTAAAAGTTTTATCCAGAGTCAGGAGGACATTGGAGCAGATACAGAGACTGACAGCAAATGGCTATTAAAAGAAGCTAAGGAGCTGGGCATGGTGAGGCATATTCCTGCCATTCTGTAGGGATAAGGGGAAAAAGAGAGTAAGGGCCTAGCTGGGCTTTATTAAGGAAGTTAGTAGAAAATCATATTCAAAGTAGATTTTTAAATTTTAAAGCAGCTTTTGCCTCTGCAGTTAGATTCACTGGCTAATCCCGACTAAAGGAATTAAAACTTTACTAGAGGAATTCCTTTAGGAGTAAAAGGACAAAGAGAGAGAGAGGGAGAGAGGGAGAGGGAGACAGACAGACAGACACAGAAACAGAGACACAGACACAGAGACACACAGGCAGAGAGAAGAGATAGATGGGAGTTGGGAGAGACCAGACCAAGAAAGCACCAGATATCACAAATGGCATAAAAATTCACAACTAAGGAAGGAATGCTCTCTAATGCAGAGATTAACCAGAGAAAGAGCTGGCAGGAAAACCATAGAGAAAGTCAGAAGTATGGAACCAAGTTAACCATCCCTCTACCTTCAATAAAAAACAAAGGAGACAAAGGGTAGCTACCTAGTTTAAAGGAAATCTCTTAGTATATATAAAAATATGCACAAACCTATGTGTGAACACACACACAAACACAGTAGTACCTAGGCTCATGAATGCTTATTTTTAACAATTTGGTTCACAAACAGAAGGACTGGGCAAAATTTTGCTTCTATTCATGAACTCTGCATTGGGTGACAAACACAATTACAGTCATCTTCCCCAGAGTGGAATGGGGTGAAATAAGTTCAGTAACCAAGGTATCTCTGTGCGTGCGTGCGTGCGTGCATGCGTGTGTGTGTGTGTGTATTATATAATATATATGTATATATTTTTTACTGTACAGTCACTATATTTCTGTATTACATATACACACATTCCCTTAATCATTATTTCTAAGCTGCCTTTTCTATGAGACTCCTCCTAAACAACCTATAAATATCAGGCCTTGATAAAGACAGACAGGCAGGAAGAAGTCAAACAAACCACACCAAAATGAATGTGCATGTAGCCAGTGGTGCACAGGTTAGGGTCTGGCCTGGGTTGGGCTTGGGATCTGTCCAAAGACAGCCCAAGGAAGCCAGAGTGTCACAAGTTCCAGGTGCCCACATAGAAGGAAGGGTCCATAAACCTAATAAAAGAAACCAGGGACAAGGGCCTGCAGGTATCCATCTTCTTCTGGACTCCCGGCTCTCTCTCCAGGGCAGCTTGTTTCAGTCTTTTCTTCCTTATAAATATATTGTTTTCCTTTCTTAAAATTTCATCCCTCTAATTTGTTATTGGTGCTAAGTTTTTTATCCTACTTAGCTGCTCACCTCACTGCCACTTGGGAGGCTAAGGAAAGAGGACTGTGAGTTTGAAGCCAGCCTGAGCAACTTAGTGAGACTCTCAGAATAAGGGCAGGGTGGATCTCCATCTGCAAAATTCCATCTCTTTACAAGCACAACGTTCTAACAGACAAGGTCAAACAGCCTACAGATTCTTGAATATAGATGTGGCTTCTTCAGAGAACATCAGTTTTTAAGCCAATAACAATATTTTTTACAAGAGGACTCTTCAAATCCTGCATTTCAAATCATACAATTCCAGACCTGCAGAAGGACTAGTCTTTAGGAGTCTGCTTGTGAAATGAACTAAGTTGTCCTGGCACCATGGAAATTTTGGGCCTATGACTGTCTCATTGGCCCAAGTCATGCTATTCAGGTGATCACCATGTTTTGTTTCAGGGAAGGCTGGCATTCCTGACCAAGCTGTGCTCAGAACTCTGGATTTCCACAGAAGGGTGAGAGGGTACATTCTCCAGGATGGAAAAATGGAAGCAAAGCCTTTGTAAATAGGGAAGGGTGGAGGGGGTGAAGGGAGGCCAGAGGAATGGGGAAAAAATAAGAATCAAGATACGTCATGTAAAGGTACATGATCCCAATGATGAATGTAACCGTAGTGTATACCTAAAATGTACCAATAATAATTTTTAAAAAGAATTAGCTATTGGCAAGTGCAACGTCCTGAGTTCAATCCCAATACAAAAAAAAAAAATTAAACTATTATCCTTAGACTCTATGCACAAAATAACACTTGCTGTACTCCACAGAACCAATACAAAAGTATCTACAGCTACAGAGATTGCATGATTAATGACCATTTGGATATGAGCATATTTGGAAACAGGTAAAAAGGTTTTTTAGGGAAAGCTCTTGAGATTGGTCTCTTTGGGAGCAGAGGTGAATATAGCTTACACATTTCTAGGTTTCTCTAACCACGAATATATGAAATATAAAATCAGTTCCAAGGCCTTGGAAGGGACGTACCTACAGCTTAAGTTTGGTGCAAATTCTAGCTGGAACCAAGAGCTTATGAAAAACTGGAAAGGGAGAGAAACCCAGGAGAGAGCGTTTGCTTAAAGGAGCAAAAGAAGAGCCCAGTATAAAAATTACTACGCCATTTGGCTATTTTTACACCCGTATGGAATGCAGCTCAGAGGTCACACAGTGAGATGGCAAGGCTGTTAGATAGAAACGGACAAATGTAGAAGATAAACACATAAATACCACACGTGGAAAGCAACTGTGATGTACATTTTGAAAGCAGACAAAAGATCAGTAACAAGTGTGAATTACTCAACAAAGTGCTATCCTGCAGTCCTGCTAGCCATCAGAAGTTCAGCAAATAGAGACTTTGCCAGGCGCCAGGTTCTTACCAGCCAGCTCTGGTGCAGCCCAGCCAGCCTTTGAGAAGCAGAACTAGGAAGCAACCCCCACCCGCTTCCCCGACATAAGGTAATTTCCAGTGCCCGGGGCTTGAAGACAGTCCAAAAGTTTTCGCTTTTGCTGACTTTCCAGCTCGCAGGCGCACAAAGCTCCGCCCCAGTGGGCTCATACACTGTAAGCCGGAGCTCACCGCGGAAGGTTCCCTATAATAATTTCTTCCATCACTCTTCGTTCAGTCCCACGGTTTGAAGCCAGGACGCAAAATGGTGGCCTCGTCCGTTGCTGTCCTGCGTGCGTGCGGGCTGTGCCAACGGAGCTTGAAGAGTTGGGGGCGGTTTTCAGGATCCACGCAACTCAGGCTGAGGGCCTGGAGCACTACGGCCCCTGTACGGACAACTGCGAAGCTGATCCTGGAGCCCGCGGGGCGCAGCCTGTGCGACGAGCCGCT